CAGTTATGGGTGCTGGTGAGATCTAGGCAGCGTCGAAACTGCAATTCACCCTGAATGATAATACCATTTAGAAAACAAGGCTGTGTAACCCAACAGGAACATAAGTTCCACCCACATGATCGTCAGACAGTTAGGCTACCTGGCCCCTTACCAACTTGAGCCAAGTATGGCAGATATCCCCAAGGCATGCATTATCCCAGCCATAAAGTGTCAGTTAAGCCTGATGAAAATTACATTTGGAACGCTAGCATTGTCATGATATAGCTGACAGCGTAAGGTTTCACACTCTGAAAGATGCAATATATGTTCACCATTTATTGAAGCAATGAAATACAGGTTATAAAGATTACAGCATTTAATGACAAAATACGGTTATTTGGCACCTTCGTAACTTACATAAATAGTATATTTACATAAAAGTAACATTTGCGAATAAGTATGGGAAAGTACACCATTGAGTAGACAATAAGGATTAAGAGACTGCCTCGAGGGAGTCTAAATTTCTTACGAGAAAATATACATCAGCGATAAAGACAATCAAGGCGAAGATAGAACCGGAAATTATGCGGTAGCCTATAGTCACAGGCCCGTTATAACTGAATAAATTTGCAGCATAAAATCCAAATACGAAGGCGCCAGCGACAACCAATATGAAGTTTATAAACATCAAAATCTGTCTGTTGATGCATTTTAGGTCGTGAATAGATCCAGTCTTGGGAAGGCATCGGCCGCAACTCAATGGGGGACTTATCCCTTCTGTCATGCGACGGTAGCTTTCGTTCTCAAATTTTATCCGAAGTGCATCTACTCTTTTTTGGACTACAGCATTTCTTGGGGGCACCGAAGGCTTAGGGATAATTACATCGCAATCAATAAAAAGTTCCCATAGCTGTGGGCAACTGGGCGAATCCGAGAGTGTGTGCTTGTGAATGGCATGAAAATCAATGAACGATATCACCTCGCTAGCAAGAGCCGCCTTTGCGGATGTTTTGAGAGAATCTAAGGCATGCTCAAGCGTTAAATATTTTTCCAGCTGAACCCGGAGGAGACCTCCTACACGTAGACATAGGCTGGTACTAGCAGGACAGTCTACCATGGCGCCGCAGAATTTACCGCATGTTATATATTATACATAATACATTAGTATTGTTTATAAAAAAAAACTAAAATTATTATACCTAATTCTTAAAATTTTTAAATAATTTAATTGTAAAACTGTTCTTATTTTAATTTTTTTGAGTTAGGATTTTTGGGGCTTTTATATAATTCGTTTATATTGGCTACTCATCTGCGAGCGCATATAATTGGTTTCGCTATTGCTATTTCCATCCCGTATCACTTTTGACTGCAATCGTCGAATTAACTAGCCCATAAGTGACTTTAAATATTAGTTAAATTAATGGCCATGCTATCACAAAATGAAATAATTAGTAGAACCAAAACGTCAGTTCTCGCTCTTGAATCATTGAAGAATGAACAAGCTCTAGCTCTCGATGGACTTAAGGCTCAGATCTCCTCAGCTGAACTTGACAAGATTGAAAAGGAATTTATAGAAGAAAAAACTCCCCCGCTCTCAAGTTTACTTGATCGAATACAATGCAGCATTGATGAAGCTGGGGTAAGTCTATGGGGATCGTCCTGAGCATGATTACAGCTTCTAGTAACTGTCTTTGAATATCTGCAAAATACAGAGGCAGAAAAGCAAAAATTAAAGTATCAGGGACGTAGGCTATATCAAGAGAATGTTTGGTTAAGAGACGAGCTTACTAAAAGCCATGAAGAGTTTCGCTTAAGCGAGCAAAAAGTGGTCCTTCTTGAATCCCAGGTTAAGCAGCTGGAATTCACTGCTGAAATGCGTAAATACGATGTCCCAGAGTCTGCTGATTCTACTGCTCCCGGTGATGGTAGTGGAGAAGGAAACGAAAAGACTGCTGCTGATC